GATGTCTGCTAGAGGCGCCTGCGGAGATGCGGGGTGCGGAGGAGCAGCCGCCGAGAGTGCGGCGCTCAGTAGGAGAGACGACAAATGTTTCATCTCTTGAATAGATGGGAACCGGGGGATTGGGATTGGGATAGGGTTTGAGGCGCCGGCGAACCAATTGACAAAGTTGATGAACTGTCAAGGTTAAACCACGGTATATCCCATGATAGGAGAGGGCCGCCCGTGAAATGGGGATAGTATCATGTGATCACGACTGTCAAAAGGTTATTCATCCGCCTCTGCTTCTCTACAGTACTACTACGAAACGGTGTGCTCCGTATCCAATGGAGTAATAAACTTATTTGATCCCTCGACTGATTGATCATATAGATCCTTTGGCCTTGGGTTACTCCGAAGATAGATCGAATTGACGCATACACTAGACACATGGAGAGTGGCTAATGGATAGCCACTGTACTCCGTCCAAGTAGATAGGGATCAGAATCAATGTATCTGTCTGTCCATTGATAGTACCTCTCTGGATCGGAGTAATAATAGTGCGATTCCATCATATTCAGACTTCACCGTGGACAAGTCTGCCGAGGGAAGGATTCTGAAGATGTGCCAAGGGATCGTATTATTAATGGAATTGACGGAGAAAACCATGGAATCAGAAGAGGTCACATTTACGTCAAAAACTGGGTCCTTTCCAGCCATGAGGCCGTACCCAGTGGACAGCCATGTGGACCTGACGTCGATACAGAGTTCTGTCTTAATAGGCTGGAGATACAGTGTCCAGTGTACACAGTAGAAAAGAGAGAAAATTAGTTAACGTGTCAACTGTACAGTACTTTTCCCCCGTACATATATCCTATTATTCGCTGTGCATATACATACTACATATACCTAACTTGAAGTATGCGAACTCATCAGTGGCTTGACTCCAGGTAGAGCTATTCATGCGGTAGATACTGAGACTGTCGCACGACATCTGAAGCTCAACCTTTCTTCCTAGTACTGGTCTGTCTGTCTACCTCTCTAGTGATCAGCACTCCGTAATATTGTGATGATAATAGAAATCAGGCTATGACGATAAAGGCTCCCGTCAAGCAAGTCCATCAGAGTCTAGAAGACGCTGCTCTTTGCTTGTTCGGGGGTCCAAGTGGGTTTATCCCTAAGTGGTGGACTCCGATCTCGCACCAGGATTAGCCGACAGGGTGATTGGTAATGCCTTAAGCACTAAACTAGCAGGATTAAGGCATTGGCAACGGTTTCTGTCTGGCAGTTGAATCAGTTTCAGCTGCATTAACTGACATATTATTATTCTTTAGACTTGCAACATACAACATTATGAGACATTGTGAGTCCAATAATAATAATAATAATAATAATAATAATAGTAGCAACTAGAAAGTGATCATCACACTGAACAGACAACTGTACCTAGATTATTCCTTTCTAGAAGAACTCAGTGGACGGGAGAAGCCAGAGCAAACCGTGGCAACTGGCGAGGTGAGTCCTCAGGCAAAACCAGATTCCATGGCTCAAGCACAGCGGAACGCACGGAGGTCTTTACTTTTTACAGTATCTGCTGTGTTCTGATTCGTAGTGCCACTCTTTTTCCCTTTTTTCTTTTGGTCTGGGTCTGGTTCTAAAGAAAACAAAAAGAAAGAAAAAAAAATGGACTTGGGAGGATTGGAGATGGTCAGTCGGACTAATTCAATTGAGCCTGGAGAATTAACCCTTGTAGAATAATACTACTAGTAACTCACATCTGCTAAGAACAGAATGAAAAATCCTGCTCCATTTTGCCTCTCGTTGCATAATTCTTCGTATTAGGAGTATCACAGACATTTCTATTCCATCGGTTTGTAGATATCCTATCCTCGTCTTGTCCTTTCCTTCTCCTCCTCTTCCTTCTGTCTAACAGTGACAACTCGCACCAGTCACCGCGTTTTCTCCCGATCCTTGTGGTCGTGAATGATCGATTGTTTGGCAGCTAGCTTCCTTGTTGAATTGAGGAACTGCATCCTCTCCCTCATCCTCCACTGAGCTGTCATCCTTCGTCCTCCTCGGTCTGTCTGCTTCCCACTCAGCTGCTCCACGTCTGCATCTGCTGTCGGCCCTACCGCCTGTTCGTCGCCTTCAGGCCCAAAACATCCTCTGCCGCTTTTTCTTCAATCAATCACGCCTCCACAGTCAGAAAACAAAAGCAATTATCGCGATCTCTGTCTATCGGCGAACTGGTTTTCTTCGCCCGTTCAACTCTTTCCTCCTCCTGACTCATCCATCGCGACCTCTTCTTTCCCTCTGGTTGACCGCCACGCCACGTCTACTTCCTCCTTCCAACTCATCGGTCCCCTGTTTGAAATAAGGGCTCTTGCCTATTTTCTCTTTTCTCGTCTGCTGCCTTCAATTCATTAAATACAAACAGACAGCCAAGCAGCAATCCTCATCAGATCATGTCTCTGCGACCTGCTTCCATCCTCTACTTCTGAACCGCGCAATCGCATGTGAAAGTTTCACCCACGCGAACCCAGTTGCAGTCAAACAAATCAACCCACCACCACACGGACAAATTCCCTGTGCTTGTCCACCATGCTGAAACTCTCACAATTGCTAGACGCCAAACAGCGTAACAGCTCCGATACATATGCAGACATCTCGCCATTGTCCCGTCAATCCCCTCAGTCCCCCTTGACGGCCGATCTCTCAACCCCGGTCTCGCCCGTGGTCTCGCTTTTCTCCTCCAAAGGTCATACGCGTGTCTCCAGCTCCGTCTCCTCCCTGGTTTCGTCCCCCGGTCAGGGCAATTCCATGGAGAGCTCAAGGAATGCCCTGACAGGAGTGAAGGAGGAACCCTGCCAAGCCAGGGATCTTGAGGAGGAATATTTCCGTATGTCCCTTCCCTCCCACCTAATCTTTGCTCTGCTTTGCATACTGATTACTTCTCTGCAGAACATTTTGACCAAGGCATGTCTGTTGTGGACGACGCGTACTTTCGACCTTCGGTCGATTACCCTGAATCTTATGATTTGAACGACACCGGAATGGACACTCCCCATTCCACCAAGAAAAGACGCGCCGATAGTCTCTCTGGTAAAGGCCTGTCGCGCATTAGTTCTCGCATTTCCACCATCTCCAACCGTTGGAGGCCGAATCGCGTGTCGGACGGTCTCGATGCCGTGGATGCCATCGAATCCAGTCTCCGGTCCCGGACAAACTCCGCCTCTTCCATCCGTGCCAGCCCGACTATAAGTCGAGTCGACTCCACCACGATTCCGCCCTCGCCTGCAAGGACTATTTTTGAGGAACGCCTGAGCGAGTCGGGGGCACAGCCCATCGACATTGCGAAAGCGAACAGCCATTCCCAGGATGACTCGGAAGCTCCACAAGCCACCACTCCTCTGCTTCCTCCCTTCATGGGGGATGAGCCACTGAGTGTTACTGCCTCCCGAGTTCAATCGCCTCTGCAGTCACCGTCGGTCGCCGATGTCTCCGAGGAGAGCCTGGACAACAGCATGACCTCTTCAGACCCTCGCCTGGCAGGAATCCCGTCACCACCGCTGTCGACTAAGCCGTCGGTCGCGTCTTTCAATCGTCCACGCGCCAGCACGATGCGGACGGTGTCTGGTGAGGGTCCATCCTTCTCGCTGACCGATCCAAACGACGAGTGGGCGACCCAACTTGGCCATGCCAATTTCACTATACAGCCCGAGCCTTATGTGCCTGAAGTCTACGATCTGAGCTCATTCCGGCAATTGCGCGAACACTGGGACCAAGCACAGTGCAACTTTACCAAGCATCTGGTTCGGACCGGTGAACACTACGGTGTGACCTCCACCATCTACAAGCTGACGGAGGCCAAATGGGACGCGATCAACAGTGAATGGAAGCGCAACTACGACGAGATGTTGGCCCAACTGGACGCGACCGACGGCTCGCTGATGGGCATCATCCAATCTCAAGGCAACCCGTGTGAGCCAGTCAAAATTCCTCGGCTACACGACGAGAAGTTCCCCGAACTGGGCGACGGCGAGATCGTCGGTCCCATGAAAATTGCTCCCGCGGCGAATATGCCGGCACGCTGCCGGAGCCGATCCTTGAAACGAAGCTTTTTCAAATTCTTCCAGGATCTCGTGTCGCGATCCTGATATGCATTGCATTCATTACAGCAATTAATGACGATAGAGCATACCCGAGAGGTCTTCGATGTACAACAACTTGTAATAACCGAGCCTCTAGGGTTGATTGTTTGAGCGTTTGACGACTAATGTCTCTTTTTCTAATGACTGACGACCACCTCCATGTGCCTGCGACTACTGACTCGCGGAGCAATTGCATTCCTTCAACATACTTCTTTTCATATGTTCAATATTCTATGACATGAGGACAGACGACAAATTTTTTTGTGTCAGGATTGGGCTGTTCACGATGAGAAGCAAACAGTGCTGCAGATCGTGCAACCGTTCCGTTCCCTGTACCACGCACAGTCGATGTCGAACATGAGTCTTGATGTCGATGCGTCTGAGAAGGCGTGCATCCTCTACCCAAAAAGAAAAAAAAGAGAAGCATGAATGATACGGTCTGCCGTGTATATGTATATATGTACCCGATATACCCAGCATTTTGATAATGAATCATAGAGATTACTTTGACATCTCTCTCTCTCTCTTTGTAAGACCATAGTCAAGTTTAGTGGGATCAGTAAGGGTATCACAAAATCAGAGTACCTCTCCATCAATCCTCCGGCTCCACATCAGCCAGTCGTGCTGCACGTCTGTGAAGGTGGTCGACTCTGCTTACGGCAGGAGCATACTGAGGGGCCCTTATCTGTCGGTCGTTACTCACTCTGCAGCATGCACCCATGCACATGAGCAGGTGGGCAGCTGATGGAATATACCTCTGCGATCTGCATAGGCGGGCAAACCCATCACGATAGATAACGTCATCTCCAAGGTAAAGCCACGCAAGCAGACCGACACCACGACAGTGATGAGCTTCTTCGTAACATCTGAGAATCAAACCCAGTACTGGCCCCATATCCGTCTTGCCTCTTCGCCGCCCTGAAACCGAAAATCCACGCGGACGATATCACTGAATCCTTCCTCCAGGGTGGGCTCTTTGAAGCGTTTCAAAAAATCGCCGAATGCGATGCCGGGGAGTGGTGCGCGGGATTCGGGGTTCTACAGCGAATCAATCGTTAGTCTCGTCTTTGACATTAGAGAAAAGGGATTTAGATGTACCAAGGCTCGGTTCGCGGCGCGGACGGCGTTGTTATGCTTGCATAGTTCCGGCGGAGCGGTGAAGTGGACACATCGGATGGGGACGTTGAATTCCTTTGCGACGCGTACCCATTCGGCGCGTGTGTTGGGGTCTGCGTTTGTGTTGTCTGTCATGGCGTCAGCAGCTGCTCTGCTGGAGACTTTGTAAATGATAGAACCCACCCACGACGACGGAGGAACCGGCTGCGAGAAACTCTTTGGCGACTTTGATACACTTCTGTCTCTGTTGGTATTCAGTATCAGTCTACCGTTTTCATGATCACCGGGATTGTACACCAATCGTACCGTCTTGAGAATGTCCTGATTGACTCGCTCGTACCCCAGCGGCTCGAGGTGATTCCAGTAAAAGGTCGATTTACCCGCTCCAGGGCTGCCGCAGAAGATGACCAGTTCGCGAGGACTCTGGCGGGTGAAAGGGGCAGGCACTGCGGTTAGTCATTGGTATGCATTCAGCTATGGGGAGAAACAGAGGTGAGGCTAACCGTTGTCCGCGGGGTCAGTCTTGATATACGAAGAAGGGTTGAAGGCCACCTGGACATCTTGGGAGGCCTGATCCAGGAAGAACTCTTCGGGTGTCTTGAATGGGATGCCGACGTTCATCGCGAAGCCTCTAGGGCGCGATTCATTTAGCGGCAACATCTTGACCTCTTCCCGGATAGAACTCACCGATCTACCATGGAGTGATCTCGGGGACGCCCAGCAGCATCACCCACGTAGAATGATGCAGATGGATCGACGCCAAAGACATCGAGGTCGTAGTCTTCCACAAACTCCTTCCACATTCCGGTTCGCGGCTTTCTATTCTCGTCGTCTGCCGTGGCGGCATAGACGCTGATCGGGATGTCGATCTGACGCATCACGCCTGTCACCCTTTCCTTGAAATTAGTCAAGCTCTTCGAATCGGCTCGGCCACCCTTCAGGTCTTTCTGCAGGCTGATCCTCTTCTGGTTGGACATGATCACGACATGGTATCTGTGGATTGCGGTTAGCTTGATTGCCGTCGTGAGAGAGACATGTTACCTGCCCTTCAGCATTCAGCTCCTGGAGTCTCGTCGGTACATTGGGAGAAAACCACTTCCAATCTGAAGAGTCCCGCGGAAAGGTGTTGCCGGAGGCTGTCACAACCAGGGTGGAGTCCTGCGTCGTGCGTCGTCAGTTTGTCTCCGAATCTCGTGAAATGCCAGCAGAGCTTACCAGATCGAAGGCGGCCACTTTGGCCTTCTCTCTTCGTGCAGGTTGTTCACCTGCACCGGTGGTATACTTTCCAATGACGAGGCTGTTGTTGACCACCCTCCATGTGATCTTCTCAGGCTTTTTCTGAGATGTAGGTGTGAAAAACGAGGCGACAGTGCGCTCTGAACCCGTAAGCTGATGCTATGCAGTCCTGTAGATATCTTGGCAGACTTACTTGTGACGGTTGACTCGACTTTTCTTTTAAGCGGGGGCGGAGAGATGCCTCTGGTGGGCGAGGCGGCTCTTTTGGCTGCCCCGGACATTATCCTGAGTGTCTCTAGCAAACTGAGAATCTTGACAGCTGTAAAGTGTACTTGATGTGGTTGAATTACAAGGAGGGAGTGACAGAATCTGATCCCGCGGGGTTATGGGCTGGAGTTCTGACCGAAACCCGGCATCAAATGGTGGGCAGATAGTCGAGGAAATCTAGAAAAATAGTATATGAGCACGATCCAGAAGCTAGAGAGGTCAAACAGGTTGTGTGCGTTACTTGACTGAGATATATCAGAATTAGGTATAAGTTGAGGTTGACGCGCCCGCACGCGTAATGAGGTTCACGAAGTCACATGGTCTATATATGTTCAAAATGCCCGAGGTAGTGGTAGACACACAATAGGCACCAGCCACAAATTTAACCTCAAAATGTATTGGATTATCATCGGTATCTCATTTTACTTGAAAATGGCACAGCCCTGGGAACTATTTAATTCAAGGGCCAATAGACGACGCCGGGTATCATGCTAGTAAAACTCTTAAAGCATAGACATAAAATCACTTTGCTCGAGTATCCAAGGACAACCGATCTGCTTGTTCCAGACGAACAGCGGATTTCAATTGCTCTCTTAGCCCAAAGAGATGCTGAGAAGCAATCTTCATGGTCTCCTGATTGCCGCCGTCCTGGACTGTGATGGCGGCCTGTAAGACGTAACCTCCGCTCTTGTCAAGTGGTGACATTTCATTTAGAGCGGGCAATTGCCGGCGAGGCTCTTGAGATTCAGCGGGGTAGTGTAGGACGCGATGTAAAAAGATGACAATGTCGTTATGAATGAAGATATCACCCTCCACCGCATACTCGGTGACAAAACTGTATCGGAGTCAACCAATAGTTCCTAGGATCTAAAACAAGGAGATAATGACTGACTTGTAACCCCAGGCATTCATCGGGACTGTAATATCGCCTTTAGGAAGACTAGCACTGGCCATCAGCCGGGCTGTGACGGCCGACCGGGTCGCTGCCTCGGGGATATCCCTAAACTCCACTCTCCAGGGTTGGTTCTCGTAATCATAGTAGTGCGTACGGACGGACGATTTCTCATCCGTCCCTGACATGTGTGCATCTTGGTCGGCGACCGGCGAAGCAGGTGCGCCGAAATCAGCCTCGGAAACAGGGCCAACGACCTGGGTATAGAACATGCCACCATTGAGCATCTTGTTCAGTCGCTGCAATTCCGCGCCCTGCAGATCCTGACTGGCACCTACACGGACATTGACCAGTCCGGGTTTACGGTATGCCTTAAAGACCAGTCGCCTTTCTAGGCGGTGTTGAGGTTGCATGGCAGTCAACCCTGCCAGCTGTTGGAGCAACTCATGATGCTGATGCGCCGGTACCGAGGCGAAAAGCAACAGCTCATGCATGATGCGTCATATGAAGACGACGTAGGGCCGGGTTGGTGGTCGAATGATATAAGGCGATGGTCACTGATATGCTTAGATCACGGGGATCACAACGGCCGACGACCAGGGTAGTCTAGCCGCCTGAGGCATTCAGTACCGGTGCCTGACAATCCGAATCCGTCGGTGTTAGGAACGGGCAAAAAAGTTCAGAAAGCGCGACGGGTAAAGTCGGGCGGCGGGAGTGCGGCATGCACCGAATGGGAAATTCGGCCTGAGGGTCGCGAGTCGCGAAAGGTTCACGGACATTGTGAGTTCCGTGGGCTGATCGTCCAGTTGGAACTGTGAACAGGTCCACGGGAAGCGGATTAACTAAGTTTCCGGCTATCAGCAAGGTGATGTGGTAAAAGAGTTTGATAATCTTAGCTAAGACTGATACCGTTCTTGGCTATGAGGAGATACTTTCGTGGATGATGATACCTTGACAACTTCTTACATGTCCGATGAACACATGTGTCTAGCTCTCCAGTGCATTCGGTGACTTGTCTACCTGAGACCGACTGATATGGTATGATTTGAATACGACCTAGTCCTAGTAGTCTGTACGTGTGTTTCGTACTTTTGATGTGATACGTTGCAAGCCCACTGTAGATCATCCACATGTTCGGTCTCCGAGATGAGGGGAAGCGTACTGGTAAGGACTGAGGAGCAATGCTTAAGGCATGAGAATGAGGAATAGGCTCACCGAGAATGCTGGTTGGGTAAGGATCTGGGGAAGATCTCGGAAGCTCAATTCCCATATCAGTGGTAGTACGGAGTACCTGTACTCCGTAGTAATCATGCAAGGTTACAACTCGTATCCGAGCGGAGTTGAACACCATTGGAGTACAGAGTTAGCATGAGCTGCTCTGACGCCGGCATGGGGTGATCCCCTCGATAATCCATCCTCTACCGAGTCTACTTATTCATCTGCAGCCTAAATGAGGTCTCCCGGCGTTCCCTTCCAATCAGAGATTAGCAGAGGGAAAATTACTGAGAAAGGCGTGAGAATCCTCCTCCACAAATTCCGAGGGACCCTTGCATGAGTGCGGAGGTGGTCTTTCAAGTGCATATACTGTGTAGAAACAGAGACTGAGAACAGAAGACTATACAATGATAAGTTACTGGATCTAGTTTCTTCATAGAGTAAAGTCAAAGGAAAGGATGTCTGAATTCTCTCTCTTTTTCCCCGCTGGACGCAAAAATGCCGGTGGAGAGGGACACTCCCGCTGTGCTTGGGAGGAGAGTTAAGCTAACCACACCACCACCGTCACCTTATCAGAATAATGTGAAACCCACCCTCGCTTCTCCTCCCCTCCTCCTCCTCCTCCTCCTGCTCCTCTTCTTATTTTAACTTAGATTCCACTCATTGTTCCCTCTCCGATCTTTCCAACCTCTCAGTCTCTTAATATTCCATTTCACTTACTTTGTAGAATTACCCTACACCTTCACTCGATACCAGGCTGGGTAGTCGGCCTGCTAGCAATCATCAAAATCTTGCTATACTGAAAAAGGCTACCTCGGGCGGATCGGACAGTACCGGATCTGTCCAATTTCTCGCGCAATTCTCCTCGATTGATAATCTTCCCAACCTACTCTCTCTACCGCACCATTTCTCCTTTCGATTCTCTCGTTTCTCCATACATAACAGCTTCGTCTCATTCAAAGATGCGTGCCACTGTTGCTCTGCGAAGCGTCGCTCGTACTCCCCTGATCCGCTTTGTCGGTCGGCGTTCTGTGCCTCGTACGTATTATTAAGAGTCAGCTCCTGGTAATCTATTTATTCAGTAAACTAACCATGCTGTTTTCGCTCCTACTCAGAATCCGTTGATCACACTCCTCGCCCTCACCCTGCTTCTCCCTCGGGCGTTCTCCCCGACTCTTTCGCTGCCTACCGCTCCAAGGCTCAACAGCACGGCCCTCTCGGTCGCGCTTCTTTCTCTCAGGGATCCGTCGGCCGCTTGCCAGGAGCTGCTCTCGGCCCTGTTCAGCCCAAGCAAGGCGAATTCTTCGATCGGGCTGAGCTTCCCGCCAGATTCCACCGTCTCCCATGGACTGACGCTGAGATTGAGGCCATTGAGACCGGCGGTGCGAGCCTTTATGCTTAAAAAACACGCGTGGGCGCGTATATGAGGGATGACACGATTGATGTGGAAGCTCATGTCGACGATCGCAAAAAGACTCGCTCAATGACACGTCAGGACGGAGGAAGTGGTCACCATTGGCTGATCGGAGGTCATGGGGATGATAGTCATCTTGCTGTTAATTACGGCTTCAACAAATGCCGTGGTATTGGTACGTCAAGTGTGCCATACTTTGACCAGCAGTACTTCACTCCCGTGCTGGTGATGAGTCGTCGGACAAACGACGACTGTCACCTCCGTCAACGGCTGTGCCTGGCCGCCCCTCTCCGACCGGTTCTCTCCTTTTCTTCTTTTGCTCAATGCTATTCGTCAATTCCTTTGAAAGGCGCTGGTGGTTTGCAAGTCATCGCACTTAGCGATTACAAGTTGGGTCTATTTTCGGGCGCGTTCAACACCATGGGGTTTCTTTTGATGTTTGACTGTGGAATGTCAGGGTCCAGAAACATCTGTACATATTACTATAAAAGTCTGCTGGAATGGTTAGACTGTTTTTCGTTGAGAGGTTCGGATTCCTCTCGCTGGTTATTGTTGACAACAGGAGTCTCAATGATGAAACTACGATGCATTTCTGAAAACCAATCACCTTTGGGCTGTCTCTCCTTGGATCTGTAAATTGATAAGCATACATAGACACGAAAAAGTGTCCTTTGAAATGCTTGCATTGTATCTCGAGGGTGATCCTGGCATGACCTATTTCTATTGTTCGTCCCCCACGTGTCCTAATTCGCAGGAGCCTACCTTATCCGTCGACCTTGGCCTATCCACCTATCAGCATTACGTCTCTCTCAACTACACTTTGCAAGCCAAACAGTAATCCTCGGATTCTGTTCACTACGCAGTACAGCTTGAACTTTTGACGATCTACTTTTGGTACTTGAAGCCTCTATCATAGACACGGAGCCTTCAAGATGGCTATAAGTCACACGCGAAACACCATCGCATTTACCGAAGTAGACGAGACCAACAATCCCACAGCAACCTATGTCTATTCCGAAACTCAAGAACATCCCAACAATCCACATGAGAAGAGTCTCAGCAAACGGGGAAGGGTCGATGTGATGGTGTGTCAAGCCTTCATCCCTAGACATATACTTCACTTGTCACTCTGCAACTGCGTGGACTCGGCCATTGATTTTTACTGTCGATATAGAAACCCTGGACATTGATTGACCATAAACCAGCATCCTTCTTCTACTCCCCCATCGACATGGTCTCTAATGACCCTCGTTAATCTGCTCGTCGATGTCTTTCTGCCTTCTGGGTATCCCCACAGTGTTACCGATGATTATCTGCCGTAAGGATACTTTTCGGTTCTTGTAGAACATGAGTGCTAATCATATAAAGGTATCAAATCTTCGTAAGGACCCAATTCGATGGATTCTCGACACCTTCCGCTGCGTGCGGTATGCATGACTCTCCAAGACAGCTGACGCCTCGCCTCAGGACTCCCTCCAAGCATTCTGCAGCTCCATCGCCGGTCTGCTATCCTCCAGAGCCGTACTCCAGGGTGTCGGCGTCGGCAATGCGGACGCCTCTCCAACTTCAGCTCTCCTCCTGCACATCCTGCAGGACTCCTCCGGCCGGATCGCCACGATCCTCTTCGCCCATCGCGTCGGGACGGCCCTCGAGCCCGAATGCAAGATGTACCGCCTCGCCGCTGATGTGTTCAACGACGTCGCCATGGTCCTGGATTGCCTGTCGCCCTTGATCCCCGCGGGAGTCGGCCGCGTCGGCGTACTAAGTGCGGCGGGCGTGCTGCGCGCTCTGTGCGGTGTTGCCGGGGGCAGTTCCAAGGCGAGCCTCAGTGCCCATTTTGCTCGTGGGGGGAACCTCGCTGAAGTCAATGCTGTAAGTGGCTGCAGAATCTTCGAAAAAGGCGACATACTGAACTACGTCTGCAGAAAGACTCGTCACAAGAAACGATCATCTCCCTGATCGGGATGCTGGTAAGCTTCGTCTTTGCGTACTCCTGAGATAGCCGTACAGGTGTTCACACGCACACACACACAGGTCGGCTCCTTCGTCGTGTCTCACGTCACAAGCTTCGCAGCCACCTGGGCCAGCCTCCTGTTCCTCCTTACCGTCCACCTGGGCATGAACTACGCCGCCGTGCGCGCCGTCCAGATGACCAGTCTCAACAGACAGCGCGCCAACATCGTCTTTTCCACCTTACTCGACTCAGACCCAGCTCTGGATCTCCATAGCCTCAGTCTTAGCAAGGAAGTCGACCACCCACCAGCACCGTCCGCCCAGCAATCCTCCTTGTCAACATCAAAGTCGCCGCTAACACCGGCCGACGTCTCCAAACAAGAAAGGATCTTCGAACCCGACGGCATCCTAAAATGGACGTCAGCTTCCACCCAATGCCACAAACTAGGGTATTGCCAGATCGGTATCTCCCTCGACCGATTCCTCCGCCTGTCGTCGACGAGCACCAGCAGCAGCAGCAGCAGCAGCACAAGTACGAAGATACGAACCTCACCGAGTCTCAGAACCACCGTCCCAATGCCTGAACTCTCCTCTCTCTTCGCAAAGGAGGATTATCTGCTGTACCTGGTGCGGCGTGGAACCCGCGGACCGGTCTGGTATACCAGCCTTGTCCTCAAGAACACCTGCTCCGTCAGATCGCAGCTGAAAGCCTGGACGCATGCATTGCTTGCTGCGCGCGTCTTGTATCTTTCCTCGTCTGAGGACGGAGATCGGCAGATCTTTGATGTGGTAGCGCGCACACTGGACTTTCTCAATCGCGACGCGAGGTTCGAGCGATATCTGCAGAGTCTTGAGGAGGCCGGCTGGGATTTGACTATAGCAGCTTTAGAGACAAGCTCTAGACGGAGAATTGTGGTCGATGACCACCAGTAGCGATGTCGTCTATTTTTATGACTAAGAAAAGAATCTATAGATCTTTGAAAGTCAACTACTGGACATTGTACAGCCAAAGGCCAGGTCAGTCGTATTGGGTATCTATATACATGCCAGAGAAGGGTGTCAAATATGCGAGCTCCAAGATGCGAGATATGTCAGCATCCAGAGTCGTAAACATGAGTCCATGCATCGTCAAATAATCAATCATCATCAAATCATCTAGGGACAACGAGGTCAACCTCGTCGCTCGCCTAGACAACAAAGCAACGCCAGGACAGAGTTACCTCCCATCCAATTTTGCAACCAAATTCTATATGACTTTGTGAACCAGACCAGAAGAGGAAAATGCCGCTCGCTTGACCTCTCACAGAAACTCCTGCTATGAAAATGCACCCAAAAAGAACAAATGCCATGCGTCGCACCGTTCACTCATATCCAAATAGTCCAAATGCGAAGCGATCGCTTAACAACCCAAATATGAATCCGAGTATGCATGCAGCGCGAGGGTATGCAATCGAGTCGTGTCTATCAAATGATGCAGCGTAAAACATGAGAAAAAGGAATGCCCAAGATACCTCCTAGGCGGTCCGGTGCGCCAGATTCAGAAGGATCTCCTAGACTGAAAGAAATAAGAGAGCCGTCGGTCGATAGAATAGCCGTTTAATCATCCATGGAGGATCGCAGATTCTGACTGCTCGAGCTCCCGTGGCCCGAACGCTTCTTGAATCCGAACTTCATCCCCATTTTCTTCCAAGGATTCTCGGTGCGATGTTTCGGGCTGTGACCCAAAGTCAACGAGGGCTCGCTCGAGGGTGGTGTGGTCGGAGGAGTCATGGGTTCTCCAGTACTGTAACTAGACTGCATACTTCCTGAGTCGTCGGTCAGAGCATAGTCACCGCTGGTAGTGGACGAAACCTGGCCGGAAGTGCGGTTACTGGTTTTGCCCATGGAGGTGACAGCGCCGAATGAGAAGTTGGAGCGGCTAGAATGGCCAGAGGGAGGCCCCGAGGAAACCAGGGCTCCCAGCTCCCGGGAGGATTTGGGCGAAAGCCGTCTCCCTCTCTTGGCCACATGTTCATCTAAACTCGAGTTCGATACAACGGTGACATCGTCTTCGTTCGAGAACAAGGGCTCCGAAAGCGGTAAAACATGTGCGGATGTAGCATGGGCGTTGAGAAAGGGGAGAAAAATGGACTCTTCCATCAGGTCGTGGACCAGTTTCACGGCAGCATCCAGTGTCTCGGGGGGTGGGGGGATGTGCGAATTCGCGTGTTGTAGGATCTCCTCCCGAACTTCGCTGGAAACATTGATCTCGCGGGGAGCACCCGGAAGGATGTATGCGGTCAGAAGTCGCTGCCAGAGCATACGTAAATGCTGGCTTTCGGGGCAATCGGTCACAATGGGTGACTCTCGTAGTTGATGGGTTAGCGAGTGATACGTCTCCCGATACCGCTTGGCCTCCAATGTGAATTCCAGGGTCTCGAGGCAGTGATTCTGAGAAAGATACGCCATAAACGCGCTAAGGGTGTATGGAGCAGGTGCCGTATTCGCTAGTACCTCATCGAGTGTTGGTCGCATAGAACAGAACGCACCCTGTTGAGCATTCAGACTCAGCGGACGGGAGCCGGACGAGTCCATATCCTCGTCCGACTCGCTGTCCGACGACGATGACGTCGGCGAAAGTTCGGGCGTCGAAGTAGGAGAGTTGTTCCAGAAGAATAAAGGAGGGTATAAAGACCTCTTTTTGAGCATCGCGTATAGCATGCGGCACCCTTTTGAACTTGTTGAGCAATTTGTGTTAATGCACACAAAGTTGTCCTCTTACCAGAGGCGTATGCAAGTAGTGGGGCTTCTCGTTTTCACGTATTTCACGGGTCCTCAGGGAGTCCCCAAATTCCCTGACCCGGATTGCCGAACTGGTGCCGAACACAGTGGGCGAATGTTTGGTAGTGGAGTGGTGTTGAGTCAATCGATGTATGCAGCCTTCCGACAGGGAACCCAAGATGCAAGAGGCCGTAGTGTATATGGTTTGTATGTGTCCAATCGAAGGCGCAGAACGGTAGAAGAAGGGTGCTGACTTCTGACGTGTTGCCGTGTGGTAAGAGAACTGATGGTTATGATGATTCAGTTATCATTGTATGAGGGGCGAGGTCTAACAAGAGACAAAGGACCGATTAGTCTGCTGCCTGCCGGGAGGTGTGTGGTATAAGGGCGCGAATATAGTAAGGTAATAATGAAACAGGAGTTAAAGAGTACAACAATAATAGTAAGGCAAGAGGTATATCCTAGGAAGGGACAGTCGACATAAAAGCAAAGGTTGAAAAGGTCTCGGAAAGGGCACCTGGATCCAGGAAGAGGGGAAACGAGTAGTTTTGAATGATAGCGAGACCGAGAGTGAGCCTAGAGAGGGAACTGAGAGTGGAGAGAGGATTCACAATCGATGATCAGACAAACCCTTCAGAGTTCCAAACCCTGCACGGAAGCGTCGAGCAGCCGGGGGGCGGTTGGGTCCACAGGAACGGCACAGCCAAGGAGGAAGGAGGAAGGAAAATGGAAGGGAAATTACTTTTTCCAAAAAAAAATAAAATAAAATAAAATAAAGGAAAAAAGAAAAAAAAAAATTTTTAAAAGGAAAAAGAATGAAATAATAGAAGCACACCTTAGGCAGGAGAATTCGATGGATCCTGAGTTCCAGACTAACCAACAATCGAATCAAATCGTAGATTGAATGATTCGACCCAAGGAAACGCTTCTTTTGCACCACAATCAATTTGGGAAATGACGATACTTCCCGGTCGATCGTAGCAGGGAAGGGCGCCCCCGTGGTCTACTATTAGTATCTACTTCGGAGTCTGTACTGTTTCTTGATCGAGCCGACCTCGGCGGATAAGGGGAACCACTAGGAACACAAGGCGACGGAGAGAGTGATGATCGGACAAATGATGCGAGAGCGCTTTTCTGTACGAGGAATTTTGGCTGCAAGAGGAACACACGTCAAAGAGGATGAAGAGGGATGAATGACCGGCAGCTGTGCCCTTTTTCTATTCCGTACAAAAAATCATCCCATAAAGAAAGATATGACTGCAATGGAAAGCGCAGAGAAAAAGAGAGAGAATAATGTCTAATAATAAGAGGAGTAGGATCACGTCATGTCTCCTCCCTAGGGCTTCAGGTCGACCAGATAAAGACAAGAAGGGAAAATGTGCTCGTAACCTGAAAAGAATCTGGAAGCCTCTGGGTGGGGAAGTGGGCGACTGAATCGTGCTCGCCACTGGTCAGGAGTGGAGGGTGGATCTTTCATCCAACTCACCACCCATGTCAGACAAGAAAAAGAAGAAAATTCCAATAGGGCAGAGGCACTACGCCAAGTGGGCCCACTACCCCATAGAACCTAAGCGCTGAGTGGCTGAGACTTGGGCACCAGGCGATTGAAATTCTGGAATAATAAAAAGAAAAAGGAAAAGAGTTTTTGGTGGAGCAAAGACTAGAAAAGACATGGTAGGGGTGGCGACCGGCTCCTGTCCGTCCAGTTTCTCTCTGCGCTTCTCTGCCTATCTATCTGTCTCGTGCCCTCTTGCTGTACTGTACTACTCCGAGCAAGTGGAATTGGATCCCGTAGAAATCGGCCTTTGCTCATTCAATGAATTGAAGGGTTTGAAAATTGTAACCGACCGCAACAGGAACAGAAAGGAGCGGATAGGAATGATGAAAGGGGGCGAGGAAGACAGCAAAAGGAGCAGTATCACATCAAATCGAGCAAAATAATACCTTGGGAGAGTCGCGTCTATTGTAAACGAATGGGAGATGGACAGATTCCTCATTCCATAGGTACTGTACGCAGATCCCATGCGACCTTCCGCAATGGATTATCTCTCTGCTACGTTGGAACGGTACCCCAGTCTTCAACAGCAAGGGAGGGAATCTTGAGGGATTTATCCAGGGATTTACCCCGGTCTGAGTTTCACAGATGACAGAATGTTGCAGGAGTAATGAGAGTAATGATGTAGGTCTGACTATCTACACTACGGCAAGGTAGAGAGACCCGAAGCTTAAGGTATCACAGTAAATCCAGTGAGATTGGTGTCATAGCTCACTGCAGTTCTACTCTCATAGATTATTATTAATGACGAGATGCTGTAAGATTAAGCTGAATCCGATGATATGGAGCGTTGGACCTATAGCTCCAATATACTTTTGCACAAACTCTCAGAGGAGAGCACCTGATGCGAAGCTCTCCGTAGGTGGCCGCCAAGTTCTCGTATCCCGACTTATGAACCGCAAGATCCAAGAATACGGAACGCGAATCTTCGTCATTGTTGTGGTACTCATGTACCTGGATAACGTCGGCGATCTGCCATTTCTTTGTTCCCGCCTTCGATGCCATTGCACACGAGGCCAAAATTTAGGGATCTGATCCATCTAATTGGGATCAGGGATCATCTGCGCTGGTCCTGATTACCGAGATAGAAATCACGCATTCCAGTTCAACGGCTCAATAGTCATATGGAGCGCATGTTGGCATATCCACCGATTAAATAGCTCGACTTTTCAAGAGTACGATCGCACTCACATCTCTAAGGAGCTACTTACCAACAACGCAAGCAAACTTACCGGGAAAAGGCACAAAATGGTTGACAAACAGTTGCACGTCGCAGACGTTTGATTGGCAAAAGTAGTCAGATCTACAGGTTGCCAAGATGGCTGTGCTGCCAGAAGCAAGGGATAGTACGAGGGAGTGACACCACATACTTTGCTAGTGCGTTGCTGGACTGGCCGATTGAGAACAACCCCACAATGCTCAGAGCTCAGTGCTCACTGAGCTCACTCTTTGCTGAAGGCCACCGAGTGCTGATAGGATCGTAGAGAAACTCACGTAGGGAGTGCATAACTAGTGGGTCCTGGACAAGACGAGAGCTTCCCAAGCTCATGATCATCAGTGATGGTCTGATGGAAGTTGGCTCCTGATTTGCGCGAGTCATCATAGCTGCATATAAGAAGAGTTCTATATGAAGCTCAATACGCGCACAGTTTCAGATAAGACACTATCTGACACTCCGAAGTACTTCTGCGATTACATATGTTTGTGTCTGCAGACATGGGCATATGGCTATTGGTAACTTAGAACGCCAACTTTAACGCCCAGTGCGAGACCATTTCTCAAGTGGGTGTAGTCGTGCTATCACCCCAGACTGCTCAATTCCTTCGTTGACTAGTACTCCGTAGATACTCCGTATCTGCAAGGGCCTGCAATCTGCAGCTGCAGCGCAATCAAGTAGTCGCGTGTGTGTCACTGCGTGGGTTAAGATCCATATTCGAGAAATGTGATATCCCTTCCTTCCATTCTGACACCTCTTGTCAACGGTCAAGGAAAGGGATGAAATGTTTCCAGAACGTTAAGGGAACAGCCAAAGAATCTCGCCCGAGAAAATAATAATACTGCTAGTAATGAGACTAGGTTACTCCGGACATGCCACAAATCAGAATGTGGGAATGCCACCTTGTGAGCAAACGGGGCTGTCCATAGTCGTCAATGTGGCTACCACCTCAGCCAGTGGACATTAACAAGAGAGGGGTGGCTTGCGTGTGCCTGTGTGTGTGCACATAACGATCACCAGCGTGTAGCTAATCAACTCCCTTCTCTCTTATTATTGCTACCTAGCGACTTGCGGACTTCGTTGGGTTATCGCCGGCCTTATCTTGTCCTTGATGATAGGACCCGCAAGTCCGCAATGCAAAGCGCCACACCCATTCCTGGACTCCTGGAGACTAATGTCAGGGAACGGCGAGGGTAACCGCAGTCCTCAGTGAGCAGTAGGCAGCACGCCAGCCTAACAACGTGTGTGGGGCGCTTGTGGGGCCTTGGCTGGGCTTCATGGGGCCATGCCCCAGCCAAGACTCCAAGGTACGAAGCCCCAAAGGTGTTGCGGGGCGTTTAAGTCACGAGGTCGATCCTGGCCCTTTGTTTGGCTGTTTGGAGAACTTTAGAACATTATTAGCATCAGTGGGTTCGAGCTTGGTTCATCGCTAATTCGTTGATTTAATCCTCGGAATGCGCTGATTGGCTTACAGGAGTCGGGCATCTGACCCAGAAATACGGCGCTAAGCAGGTCTTGTCCGTCGGTTGACTGCTCGGTTGACGCCGACTTTGACGGCTCTAGCCTTCATCTGGCTACTTTTTAGGCAAGTGGTGATTGTTTCAGGTCAATTTGAGTTGGACGTCGCGAGATCAGTTATTGGAGCCAGTCAGGAAGAGCATGGAATTTGACTCTGCACTCCAGACTCTGTATACGCTGTCTACTCTATATCTAGCCTAGTGTCTAACTTTAGTATTTCCTAAGGTCAGTCGAGATCTAGCGCTTATGGTGGCAGTTCATCTCTTTGCTGTTAGGTATGCAAACGCTACGCCATTTAGAATTCATACCCCTCTAATCTGTATTCTGGTCGTGGTTGAAAAGTATGGTCTCGACATCGTCATCCAGAATTTTAATCTATCAAACAAGCATTCTGACATTCCTGTCGTCGTTGCACTGCAGGTTCGACTGGAAATTATGAACGAGATCTACCATCCCTTGCTAGACTGCATTCTACTGATTGAGGGTTGGTAATGCCGTGTACGACAGGAATGATAGGAATTGCATGATATTCTGAAGTGCCACAACTCCAAGCAGTAGTGTACTTATACTATGACCAATTGCAACGTTATACATCTCGCAGTCCAAATCTGGATATTGCAAATCACTTATAATAAGAATCATCACGCAATGGCTTGCAAATGATGCAAGATGATCATTGGGCCTTAAGACTCGGAGATATCGCTCATATGGTACGAAGTACTGAGAAAGCATGAGACGAAAATGTTGTATTATTCCAGCCAAGAGTGAAGACATCAATCCTTCCTTCGCTTAAAAACTGGACTGTCAATAATTGATATTTAACTCTCCGCAAAGGCTTGAACGGACAACAGTTGAACAGCCACGTTCAGCCTTAACTCGCCAAGCCGGCGAAAAGAAGAATAAAAATCCTCGCCTTCTAGAACAATTATGGAAGCTGCCAAATGGAGTTACAAGAAGCCACATCACCGATAGTTCGTCAATAATGTACGGAGCACAGAGTTACACTTTTAGTAGCATCCTTCCTTTTACATTTCTCCGAGCATACTACTTACCTGTATCCCTCAACCGAATCCTCCGTTCGTTCGATTTGCCACGTACAAATTTCAGGAGAATCGATTGTCGCATGGTCATAATACTTCACCATCACCGGTGTAGCCCTTCCTATTCTTCCCGATGGTTATCTATCAACATTCCACTGCGGAGTACACAGATAAAAATCGAACGATCGTCGGTCTTGGGTTTTAACACTGTACTAGCGCTATCATGATTTTTGAGGAAATTTTGTTTACATCGTACGTCCCGTAGATAAACACCGATCTTTTAGATTTGACTCATCAGATCCAGATCTTTGACCAGCGGCTCCACAACAACTCTCGGTCACCCGAATTCGGACCTTGAACTGCAAAAGATAAACAGTCCGAACGGAGTAGATACGAGGGTCCTCTGTCTACGTCGTCTCCGAAACATATGGGGATGTGGGTTACACCAGACCGTCGTCCTTAGTGAGACTATCGCCACTGGTCTGGAAAACTCTTCTTCGTTGAGCTTCCAAGGCATGCAGGCGCTCTTGGGCATGTCAGTGCACCCGTTGTTGCCACTTGATATTGACCATTCAACTATAAACAAGTTGATAATAGTGCTACATCAATATACTTCTGCTTAAGCGTAGAACGACTAGACGAGAACACGGACGATGGTGGTCTACGCCGATTCCCGAGACAATCGGAGCAATTACTGAAATCGACTGCTTCTAGAATAATACATTGACCGTAGGCTCTTTGGAACAAACTTTCCGTAGATTCTGGCTAGTCTAGTAAACGCAGGAGAAAGTTCGGAGCTTACCACAGGCGGCTCAGTAGCATCTGAGCTATCCAGCAGACAGATCATACGAAGCCAAAGTATCAAGGACTTACTGGTAGGCGTTGGAGTCGGACACGTCTGATCTCCTGACATTGGAGTTTTTCTCCTCCATCCAATGATAAAAGACTCAACATCCAAGTTCTGTCAGCTATGCTCAATGTAGCAGGGTACAGCAGTCTTCTCTCACAAGATGCATCTATCCACGTGTCGTGGGGGCAACGCCACGTTGACACTGTTGATAGCAACATTCGTCCAACAAAGCATTAGACTGTGCGAGCTGCGAAGAACAAAACCAAACACTAAACAGAACAATACTCAACAGAACCCCAACAAGCCGAGCGAGTCAAGCAGGTAGGTCGACTCGGACCTGTCCCTGGTTCATCAGGCTAAAATGATATCTGCAGTGCTCCGCGACCTAATGTGCACCGGCCCAACAATGGAGGCCTTGGCCTCTGCTTTGACCCTCGGCTCTCGCCTATCGAGTCCTTCAGTGGAACGTCTTTGCGGCCTGGATGCTTGGATGCCCAGCAAAAGGCTGTCGAGTCGAGTCTGCGCTTGACAGTTCGGGGTCAACCGGTCAAGGCAAGGACCGTCAGGGGAGAATATACGGAGTAGTCTAGAAAAATTTCACTCTGCAGGTTACGAACTTGGGAGTGGATACTGAGTACTGTGTTCAAGATCCACAATTCTTCCGTTGTTGGCAATGCAGCAGGTGCAATGCAGTAATGCGAGCTCTGGAAGAGGGAATCGATAGCTCGTGAATCGGGTGTTTCTGAATCACGCGAACCGAATCCGTCTCTGCTGAATTGCTTCATGCTACTAGCCTATTCGGGTCATCAAGCTGTGCGGATTTCATAATCGACCGCTGTGATGATGGTCTGATCTTGACAAATGGGATTCCTCTTGAGGCTGGCCTGCGTCTTCCCCTGTCTCAAAGTCGGCAGAGACGTCTGGATCGATCCTATCATGACAATTGATCGTTGCTAACAATTTGTTCATGGCCAGGTCTACCCGGGGATCAACATCTCTCATCCATCTGTTGATCCGTTCTAGAATGTCTCAGTGGGGATCGTCGCACCCTCAGAAACAAGGAAATTAAATCCACACCGAAGACGCAGCCATGTCACAGCACTAGGAAAGACGGGACGATCCCCACGGCAATGACTTCATCTACTCTCCACCGAGGAGATCGAAATATGGTTATATCCTTCAAGATGAAGCGCCAACTTTGAAATTAGGAGTGCAGTACGTACGCCCCTACGCCCTATCTGGCATATGGTGTGGATAATATCGAACTTCGGGTCGGACGACGTCATATTTTGAGTCCGATCTTATTTTGCAACTTTACAGCGTCGATTGATTGTGCGGTGGGAAATCAAGCGATTCGCTTCACAGCGTCGCGACCAGTCCATCAATATCCCGCGGGTCCTGACCGTTTTCTGGCTCTCATCAACCAGAGTGCCAAGTCGATCACTGGTTGATCGACCACTTTATCGAAGTCCGATCCAGCATAATACTGGTTCAATCTACCGGACGTCACTCATGCCTTTATTCACAGAGTACCTTCCTATATGGGAAGCGCCTGGCACCACACCAGGCTGCTGGAGTCTCCGCTACTCCAGCATACTGTGTTGTAACTCAAACGCCCTCAATCGGACGATCCTCGCTCTTACGAGACATGGCTCCCTCCAGCCTAACTAACCTGACTAGTCACTACACCTGCCACTGAAATGACCTCGGCAACGTCATGGCCTCATCTATCTCAGACGCTGGCGGCATACCATGCACAATGACGGCATCCTAGGATGAAGCCAGACGCAGTCCTAGACGCTTGACACCACTCACTGTAGGTAAATAAGAAGCAAGCAAGGGCAAAGACCCGGGGTTCAATCGTTTAATAGAGCAGTCTTTACTCCGTAGACTAGCAGTCCTCTCGCTTAACAGGAGGACTACCTACCGCAAGCCTGCACTCCTACCCTCCTCAAATCTAGTACACCACAAACAACCCTGTCGACTTAGCACTTACCACTACCACCCTATCCCTAGTGGTGTCTGCTCTAAAGCCTAGACTAGACACCTGGCGAATCCAACCCCTGCCATTCCCAAGTCCCGACTTCTGCATCTGCATGTGAGCAATCATTCTTAGATACTAGTCTTGCAGAACACCCCCTCACCACCATCAGCAACAGACTAGTCTCTCCGTAGGGAATTCACCAATCGTCGCGCCTGAGAGGACGATTCCCTCTGTCGATCGCTGCACTCCATCATTTAGTTGTGTCGTCGGGAATCGAGTCTCTCGCTGGTGTATGGCTGGAGGGTTGAGTGGCTATGAGCTGCCTTACGTAGTATAAGTGTGCACTGCTGAAGAGACACATCAGACCATTGAATCCCTGCCATCTGCCATCGGATCGTCCGATGCTTGCCTCTTGACGTCGGGACAAAGTTTCCCTTAGTTTGTCGAGTTGTCGATTAGGGCGAAAGACCAACCCGATCATCCCATTGTTGATGATCGTTTCCAATCTCGATATCTCTTCCTCCTCTGGTGGGAGATGTGGCACGTATGGACGAGTGAGCAAAAAGTACATGGAGGAATTCTGTAGAGCATGCATAGTCTTTCCACTACGATTCTTGCATCTTCCTTTCAATTGTCTAGAGCTACCTCTCTGTTGGTTCATGAACTGGGATCCCACAGTGGATTCTCTTCAAAGATACTGTGATACTTAACCACCCAGGCTACAACGCCATGTTCCTTATGAGGATATGGCCTGTCGACTCCGTAGCAAAGCATACTTTGCAAATCCATTGACTACTGGTTGTCATTGGTATCTGGCTGATGACTAGGTAATGATTGCTCGATACTCTCTACGCCAGCTCTCGGTAACCAGCTGTTGCATGTGTAAATGTATGACACGATTTAAAAGCACTGCCAGGAAGAAACACAGAGACGCTATCTTCACAGAACCAACCCGCTGCTCAAACATGAATACAGGCGCAAAGATTAAATTCAAACGCGGTATTATAGGACAGAAGCATATATCAAACACGTTCCCCCTGTGACAATTCATTCCTTTCCTGGGAGTCATATTGACCCGCGATAACGAAAAGGAGCAAAGAGAAGGCAAGGCAAAGAGCACAGAGCACGATTGCGTGAGGGAACAGGCAGAATAGCGGAGCATGAACCAAGCACAAAATCACACTCAGGGACTCCCCGCAGACAGACGCTCAGGAGCAAGGACGAACGAGAAGACAACAGACAGCCACAGGCCGCTTTTGGGAGGATGACCACCATGACCAATGGTGCATCCCACGTTGGACATATTCAGACACTTATATGCTAAGCTTCGCGTGAAAACAGAGTGACTGCCCGATCCAGGCGGGAGGGACTCTTCCATCAAATGCACAAACGCCGCTTATTCCTCGGTCATTAAAGAATTACCATCGAAGGACAGCCACGGCAAGCCACATAGAGACGGAAGGGGGTAGTGTGCGATGAGGCGAGGAGCGACGCGGCGAGAATCAGGGTAGTGATCAAATAAACTGCGGCAGCAAACAAGACAGAAATAGAGATCTAATATTAAATGGCTGACGCCAGAAATGCGCAATGGAAAAACTGGACAAAAAACACACATGCAAGGGCAAAGACAAATTCTCAAAGTTCGCCGTTCCGAGCCGTAGCACCATGAAATGAATGATGACTATGATGTTTGTGAGGATGACGGAGTATTCGGTAGGGAGGGTGCGAAGAGCTCCTCGTTCAATGGGCGGGTCAAGCTCCAAGCTCGAGTAAAAGATGTCATCAGAAGAAGTTATAGCGAACGTAGACAGGGCGGTTCTGTGACCCAGAACCGAGACCCATTGATGACAGAAGAGAAAGGGGGAAAAGAAGAGCATGGAACCCCCGAGCCATCGTGCACTCATCTGGGAGTGATGCCTGTATAGCCGGCTAGATCCGAACCAGGAGGGTAGTAACCCCTGGCAGAAAAATAGGAATCGCAAGAGCATGCTGCCTTTCAAGCCCACCAAAAATTTCGACACAAAGAGAAAAAGAGCGTTGAATGATCAACATGACCACAGCGTGATATAGAATTACAGAGGCACCGTCGATGAACCTTGTGTCAACCTGGAAGCTTGTATAAGCACGGAGGCATGACACTTGGGAACTTGGCAGATTCATCACCTACCGCAGCACAGCGCTTTCATCAATTTTTGGACGAAAGTAGGCTGCGGGTCATTGCCCTGAGTGCCCTGCCCTTGTTGGCTGTTCTTCGTGGGATTCGCCGGACTTCCCATGCGACCCGACAGATTCGCGTTCGAGTTCTGGAACTGCGCCTGGGTCGATGCCGTTGGCGTTGTCGCTTCCAAACCCCCGCTCTGACGTTTCGGCGGCATTCCGCCGGAGGCGCTTGGCCGGTCGCGCGTCTTCCCAGCTCCGTGTTTCGCTGGAGATGGGGGCGGGGGCTGCGCGGCGTTTAAACGGTCTGCAGTAACGCCAGGCCTCTGGCTGCCGCGGAGCTGCTGTGCATGGAGCTCGCGGGCGGACGAATTGGGAAGATTGTGCTGCAGGTGCTGCTGGGACGAATACGCCTTGTATTCCCAGCCCCTGCCGCCGTTCAGTTTCATCCAGTCATACTCTCCATCCTCTACTTCGCCAGCGTTCTTTAGAGCTTGGGTGAGCAAGTCCCTCAGGTAGTCGTAGTCGGGGGTGTCTTCGAAACCAAGGTTGCGGACGTAGGTAAGGTACTTGTTGAATTCCTCTGCATGGTAAAGTCAGTTCCATCGAACGCCTACGGCTTGCTGAACAACATACCTGGATATCCTTCGCAGAGATCTTTGATAGCAGTTGTTTGCTTCTTTTCTCCGATCTTCTCGTACTTTTGCTTATTGGTAGCTGCCTTCAGCCCCTGCCAGGGAAGGCCACCTCGTAAGAAGTAAAGGAAGACGTGGCCCAGAGCTTCCAAATCATCCCGTCGTGACTGTTCCCGTCCCAGATGGGTGTTGATACTCATGTAACGTGCTGTACCGGACAGCGATTTCCGTTCACGATAGGGAATGTGCTGCTTGGTCTTGGGATCTCTGTATTGTTTCGCCATGCCAAAGTCGACGACGTGAATCACATTTGCAGCCTTGGTGCCCGGTCGTCCGATGAGGAAGTTGTCCGGTTTGATATCGCGATAGATCAGATTCTTTTCGTGGATCGTTTGGACACGCGAAAGCTGGTAATGCGGTTAGTATCGAGTAGGCCGCAGGAGTATAAAGACACAGCACGCACCATCTGCTTGGCGACCATCACTACGGTCTTAACAGTGAACCGACGATTGCAATGATCGAAGAGGTCTTCAAGACTAGGACCAAGAAGATCAATGACCAAGATGTTGTGCAACCCTTCCTGGCCAAAGTAGTAGACATTGGGAATGCCAGCTGTAGTCGAGTCAGAATTATCGATCAGCCTTTGTATTACTATGTGAACTTACGGCATCCGACCAAGATCTTGTATGTCCGGTATTCATCGCGCAGTTGAGGTGCATCGCTCTTGCGTGGTTCCTGTGACAGTTAGACCATCAGGAGTCACTGAATTCGGACTCGATTTCGAGTAAAACATACAAACTTAATAGCCA